AACCAACATTTGAGTAGACATTTTCCATTACAAAACACTTTCATTTGCATTATTGTCTCCTCAGATCCTCTCACCTGCCTTATATGTGCAGTAGGGTAGATATTTTTTGTTTTATTTCAAACCCTCAGAGAAGAGGGGTTAGGCATGGGCACTCTGGAGTCAAATTATTTAGATGTGGGTCTCAGTCTACCATTTACCATCTAAGTAATCTTGGACAAGTTATTTAACATTTCTGAGCCTCAATAAATCTGCAAAGTGAGAATAAAAATAGTACCTGCCACAGAAAGATGTCATCGTGATTACATGTGATAACACCCCTATCTGTTACTGTCCAGGACTCTGACTCATGGCGACCCCATGTGTGTCAGAGTAGAACTGTGTTCCATAGGGTTTTCAATGCACTTCTGACAAGCGCGTTAACTATTTGCCCCACCCAGGAACTCTGGTAACACCCCTAAAATGCTATACTTCAAACCCACTGCTATCGAGTCGATTCTGACTCATAGCGACCCTATAAGGTTTCCAAGGCTATAAATCTCTTCTGAGGCAGACTGCCACATCTTTCTCCCTCTGAGCTGCAGGTGGTTTCGAACTGCCAAACTTCCTAGGTTAACAGTTAATCACTTTAACCACTGTGCCACCAAGGCTCCTTAAAATGCTATTAACTATTAGTGATTACGGATGAGGACACTGAGGACCAGAGGAGTTAGGCGGTCTTCCCAAGGATGAACAGTTTAATCTGCAGAACCAGGAATAACCTGGCCTTTCAACTCCAAATTTGAGGCTTGCTTGAAACAAAAATCCATTTAGTAGCAGAATCGAGATCAGACATGCCCAACACTTAACCTTTCTCTTGCAAGTACTTCATCTCTGCTGTCTCATCTTCTATGCTCTGGAGAGTAGCACTCTCAAGCTACAAACTGCTTTTTAGATTTTTTTTTTAAAATTAATTTCCCTGCACTATAATCCTAAGAGGTCAAGGGTTAATGTAATTTTTACTTTTATTGGAGACTTAGAAAAGCCAAGTGATTTTTATCAAAATGCAATACAGTGAAAACGCCATTATTTACTGTGTTGAGTAGCCAGCTAATCAGCATTTTATTCAACCGAGAGTTACCACATGCTGCTTTGACTTTCCTGTTATTCTTGTTTGAGACCTTGTCATCACTGATCTTCCAGTTTGTGGCCTGAAGCCAACAATCTTGGAAATCTCTGTGCAGAACAACATGTAAGTAAGGAGGTTTAAGCAAGATTATGAAGGGGAGAAAGGGCAATAAGGAGCAAACTGCCATGTGGGTAAACCAAACCTTTTTCACATTCCAACTTGGATTTCCTCAACTTAAAAAATTCTGAAACACAAGAATGTGTGGCAAATAGAAGTTTTTTCCAAAGACAAATATTGTGCAAAAACTGAAAACAATCTAAATGAATATCAACAGAAGAATGAATAAACAAATTGTGGTATGTTCATATAATGGAATACTATTCAATAATAAAAATAGAACAAATGATTGGATAAAACACAAATGCATTAAGCCGAGTGAGAAAAGTCAGACACAAAAAAGCAAATACAGTATGAGTCCATTTATAGGAACCATTTATCTGGCTAATCTATGGCGAAAGAAAATCAGAATCATGCTTGCTTGGGGGCGATATAAAGGGTGGGGCTGAGTGGGAGGAACTTTCTGAAATAATGGAAAATTTCAACATCTTGATTTGGGTGATAGTCGCATGGCTGTGCACATTTGTCAAAACTCATCAAACTACACATAAAATCTATGCATTTACTTATATAAATTATACCTCAATGGCGTTCTTCTAATGAATAACTTATTTAATTCTCACAAAAATATGGAGGAAGAGATATAATGTTTATTTGCATTTTACAGATGGGGAAAATGAGGCATAGAGAGGTTATATAAATTTCTAGGACAATGGAGTTTGTGGCTATTGGGGCCAGGATTTGAACCCTGGTAGTCCATACAATTATGGAATGACATAGACAGCCTGTAATTGAAAGGATTAAGATTAGACCAGGGAAGACTGCGCCAACTCTGCTCTTAGCCTCAATGTACTTACTACTACTAAATTGCAGATTTACGCCGCATATTATCGAGACCAGTCTTCTGAACTTTCTGTTTGCTAATCATTGTACAACAGTTACTGTGATAAGACAAGCAAAATCATGTGCCTGATGTTACAAAATGGAAGGTGACTCAGGTATTCGGCTTGAAAGAAGAGTCATTTGCTCCACTTTGATCAGGATGACTTATTGTACTATTTATCATATATGGAGAAAAATTAACAGTGACACCAAAATGCTAACGGTGGTTCACTATGGGGAATGAGATTGAAGTGAGAGGAAGATTTCCAATTGCTCGTTGACACACTTATCATTTACAAATTTTATGATAAGAATGCATTTTTGGTGAGGTTTAAAAGTTTTTTTAACATGTGATCCAATTAACTGTTCTCCTTACATGCAGTGTTAATTCATTTATTCATTCATTGAATAAACAAATATTTACTGAAGGTCTGCTAGATGCCAGGCACTAGGTACTGGGGATACAGAGGAACTATCAGTCTAGCGGTCAGACAGGCATGTAGGCAAACAATTGTGGAATGAGATAGGCAGCCTGTAGTTGAAGGGATTAAGATTAGACCAGGGAAGACTGCGCCAGCTGTGGTTTTAGCCATAGCAATCTGTTTGGTGGCTCCACCTGATGGAGGGTGGGTGGGAGGAGAGGAAGCACTTCTGAATGACTTAGTCGGGTTCCGTTGCTGTTGTTAGGTGCCGTTGAGTCAGCCGTTGAGTCAGTTCCGACTCATAGTGACCCTATAGAATAGAGTAGAACTGCCCCCTAGGGTTTCCAAGGAGTGGTTGGTGGATTTGAACTGCTGATCTTCTGGTTAGCAGCCAAGTTCTTTCTACAATCCTCTTATTTTAGAAATATTACTGGAGGCACACCCAGTACGTGAAGGTGTAGGCTTTGTGATTCTGTGTGTTAATATGACTTGTAAGACATCAGTTTTTTCCTCTTCTTGGTTTCTCATAAGGAGCCCTTGTGGCGCAGTGGTTAAGCACTCAGCTGCTAACTGAAAGGTCGATGATTCAAACCCACCAGCAGCTCTGCAGGAGAAATATGTGACAGTCTGCTTCTGTAAAGATAACAGCCTTGGAAACCATATGTGGCAGTTGTACTCTGTCCTATAGGGTTGCTGTGAGTTGGAATCAGCTCTATGGTAATGTGTTTGGTTTTAGGGTTTGTGTTGTTTTAAAAGCCATAAAAAGAGTGGGTAAGTGTACACTTTTCTTCCTGCTTGAGCTAAAACAATTTTTTTTTATTAAGTCACAGGCAGTAAAAAGTAGCTTTTTCTCAGGACCATATGGTTCATTAGTACCATATGGAGAACCTGTACCAGACATTTCTTCCTTAAGTCCTGTGCTCCTGTCTAAGATGTGACCAACTGCCTCCCCTCCCCAGTACATTCAGGGTAGTTTAAGCCTAGCAAGGCATACTGTGTCCCTGCTGGCCTTCAATACCTTCTTTATAAGCATGCCTGATTTTGGAATTGCTCTGTAATTGCAAGTCAGCCTTGACTGGGCAAATGCATGTCTTAAGCTCTTCACAGTGCCCTACCAGCCTAATTAAACTACAGAAATAAAAGAGCAATTAGGTGGAAGCATTTGCAAAATGAATGCGTGGTAGTAACCTGTGTAGTTACAAAGACCTTGTCACTCAGACCTAACTGCTTGGATATGCTGATTTTACCAACAGAAAAAAAATAAAGAAAATTCTCCATATCCCATGACTCCAATCTATTCTTGGCTGAGACCCTAAGGCCTCTGCAGGGTCAGATAATTTGTTTATAGTCATAGGCTTCTGGTTTTAAGAAGAGAAATGCCATTTCTGCCCACCTCTCCTTTCTGGAAACCAATGGAAAACAACAGGAGAATAAGAGGCAATAAAGCAAATATCTTTATTGAAATTAGAAAACATATCTGGAACCATAATACCATGTATAAAAAAAGGCTTTCAGAATATTGAAAACTGTACCAAAGTGTAGATGCAGAAAGCAGGGAAATTCGAAATTCATGGGTGGCCTAGACAGAGTATAGAAATTCTGCAAAGTAGATATCACACCCTTGGCTTGAAACACGATCAGGGTGTGTAGACTGACAACAACATACATTTAGTGGCCTCAGACAACTAAGGTATCACATGGGAAACACACGGACACTCCATCTTTGCAGATAATGGGGTGGAGGATAAATTGTGGGGGGCAAACAGCCCTCCAGTTTGTCAAATGAAGAGTAGTAAAGGCATCACCACGCATCAAGTGGTTTCCCCTGGAGGAGGGAAACTTCCAGCCAGCCCAGAGCCAGCCACGTCACACGGTGTTGATGATAAAATTTCTAGATGCAACAAGCCAAACGTGCTCACCAGCTCCCTTGCCTGGCCCTTACCTTTACTATCTTTTCATATAATATGGCTCAGGAATAATACCCCCTCCTCAATTCAAAGATGGACAATATTAAAAAAGGAACCAACACAAGACTTATGTGAACATGTTGCATTGATAGAAAAAATATCACACATACATGTAGAGGTAGATGAATAAAACTTATCAGAAAGACTATACTGCAAAGCAGGTGAAAATTAAGACAACACAGTTCTCCAAGAAGCAAAGGGCAACATATATTAATACCAAAAATATACATAGACTTCAATTCACCTGGTAAATCATCCTATAGAACTGCATTGTCCAGTGTGGTAGTCATCAGTACTTGAAATGTGGCTTGTGTAACTGAGGAACTAAATATTTAATTTTAATTTAAAAATTGATACTTACTTAGCTATTGGAAAACTTGGGTATGTGACTACTTTTCAACTGTAAATTTTATAAAATCTAAATATAGATTAGGTATTTCCAATGAAAATTTAGTGTCTTAACCTTTAACTAAATTACAAAAAAAAAAAAAAAAATTATCTATGGGGAAAAGAAAAAAGAAAATTTAGTGTCTGAATTTAGATACATACTAAATGTAAAATAAACACCAGATTTTTCAAAGACTTAGTTTGATAAAAAGAATGCAAAATATCTTATTGAAATGATAATATTTTGGATATATTGGGGTTAAATATATTATAAAATGTATTATTACTTTGCCTGGTTTATTATTAATATGTTTTTTAGATTTATTGTGGCTACTAAGAAATTTAAAATTACATGTGATTCACATTATATTTCTATCAGACAGCAATTCTGTAGATAATAAAAGCACCAGTATGTAAAGATAGATGCATAAGCACTGTTCGAAGTAGAAACAAAATTGAAAGCAAAATGAATGCTTGTCCGCTGAGGAAGGGTTAAGACATTAATGTATAATATGCTGTAATCTATTATGTCTTTGAGAAGAATGAATTCAAGTTTTGCCAGTGAACTTGAAGAAACATTCACAAAGTATTACTACAAAAGAAGAGTGAGCTTCATAGAGGTGAATAATTTCAGTTTTGTAAAACTACCATCTCAATCCTCAATAGGTGTTTCTGTTTGTAAAATATAATATGAATGTGGAAAAAAATATAGGAAGTTACACATCAGGTTATAAACCTGGGTTACCTGCCTGGAGGAAGGCAGAAGAGAGAATTAGAAAGGAAATAAAAAGTCTAAGTCCTTTCCTCCCATGCATGTGTATTATCTCATTTATGTAGAATTGTACCCTCCTCACAACACACAGTAAATGGGGGAAGGGAAGATAAAGATAGAACCATATCTTATAACTTGTAGGAATGTCGAGGATATATTGCTAAGAGAAAAGAAGCAAGTTGAAGGTAACATATAAATAGACTTGTCATATTTGAATACAAACAACAAATCTCCCACATTCTTATGTATGTTTGTATAAGCAAGGAGAAAGGTGTGGATACTAGTCAATTAACATGATAATCTCAGGGGTGTGCAACTGGAAAGAGAACAGGGTGGAAACAAAGATGTTTAGATTTTAACATACACGTATACTCTTCAGTTTTTATAGCAACTCTTACTTTTCATAATTTGAAAAACATCGAAAGACGAAAACTTAATTAAAAAAAACAGGGCAGTGATTATCAAATTTTTCTTGAAGTAAAGAAAAAGAGCTTATATAGGAGCTACAAACATTCAAGGAATAGTGGTCATAGTCAGAATTTAAAAAATTAGTTGGCCAGAAAGACACACTAGAAGTAGTAAAGAGATTCTCTTGGAAGCAACCAGAGTATTGGACAAATCGAATGAAAAAAGCAAAGAGTTAAAAAGAATTAGATAATAATAACAATAGCAAACAAACAAAGGAGAACCAACATATGCACATTTGACACCAGAACATAGAGAACAGGGGAGAAAAGGCATGCAAATATATTTTCCTAAAATAAAGTCTAAAGACTAAAAGAGAACATTGAGTTTCAAGAAAAATTGAAACATAATATTTAGAAATATCTTACTATATTGTACTTCAGAGATAAAGACTTCTTTGGGCATGGAGCCCCCTTCTTCACCACCACCATCCCCCTACCAAAGATCAATCAACTGTTTACACATGAATTTAAAAAATATGTAAAACAAAATAAATTACTTGAGGCATTCCAAAAACTTTTTCACATTCAGAATCTCTTACGAATCACTTTTTGACTCAGAGTCATTGATGTTTATGTTTTTGCACACAATGTCCTTTATGCTATCAAGAGCTTTGGTGACAAGCATTTTGTTAAAGAGCATGCCGCCACTGTGTCTGGAATTTTCTTCCGAGACGCTGATGCTCATTAAGCAAGTTTAATGTTGGTGCTTTCCTGGTCTTAAAGTATCATGGAAGGTTTTCAGATCTCAACCAGGACCTATTTTTCTTCCTCAGGTGGTCCTTACATGGCTTTTTCACTGAAACATTGAAGAGTACCCATTCCCCAGTCTTGTCACCAGGAATATAACCACATTTGCATGTGCATAGATCATGATAACTGTGCTCTATAACGAGTTGACCCCTTGAAAGGAGAAATGGATATCACACACCCTGTGCTAGATCATATTTTCTTCAAAATATTCATTATCCCTCCCCATGAGAGGATCATTTTTCCACAGCCATTGACATCATGCTTGTCACATAACTTGCTTTAGCCAATGAAATATAGTGGAAGTAAAGGGTGCTACTTCCTAGCAGAAGCTTTCTTCTCTCTCTGTTGTAACATCAGTATGCCCAACATAGGGGTTGCTCCTTTAGCCTGGCTCCTAGAAATGAAGATAACACAGAGCACAGCCCGATCTGACCCTCAGTAAACATATAATGTGAGTGGAAAGTAAACTTTAGTTGTAAGTCACTGAGGTTTTTGGGTTGTTTGTTACTACAGCATAACTTAGCATGAGCTGACTGATAGAACCCTCTAAATAGAAGGATTTAAAACCCGGCTTTAGAATCGTCTATGTGCTCTACTGAAAGATTCCTGGTTTCTGTAGGGCTTCCTGAGGGCAAGTAATGAGTTTGTGACTGATGGTCTTCCTCATGTGAGATTAAAATTAAGCCTATTTCAGGTCATGTGAAAGCAGAGTTATCTCACCTGAGATGTGTTTAAAAATGGGCCACTACTAAGATAGAAACTCAATCAACTCACTATGTGCCTGTGACTGAGTCATCATCCAGTTGTTGGGAGACTCCATTTATATCTGTATTCGGAAGAAATGTTCTGAAATTCCAAGGTTAGAAAACATTGCTGGGACATCAAAGTAGTCACAACAGGGTAGGGGTGGGAAGGAGGAAGAAGCAGAGGTGATGCTGTAGATCTGAAGGATACACTCCTGTTTTTCATCTTTCCTTCCAATTCAAGCCAATTCCATGATGGCGTTATTAATCTATGGAGATATCTTTTTTTTCTCCAAAGCAAGAAAGTTCAGCATCTGTGCTCAGATGTTTCACTGGAGAATACGCTGAACTCAAAATACATTAGGGATAGAACTGCAGTTGAACGTTGATGGATTCAACAATTTGCAGCAGCCCTTCAAAGAATACAGGCTGTGGTTTCCTCCTGGGATGACCTCAGTGCTGGTGAAAAATGGAATGAAGCAGTTAGTTGAGATCAGGAAAACAGTCGACAAAATATGACACTAAAAATAACACAGGGCAAGAAACCAATTTTCTCCTCCATATTCTAGTTAAGGTGGGTTAAGGGACAGAGGCATAAGGGAATTAGTTTCGGGTCTCAGATCCTGGGTGGTCTGAAAGACTCACCCTATTTCCTCCAGAATAAACAAAGGAAGCATTGAATCAACCCTAATAAAACATTTTTACATTAAGAAGGGGTGGGATATATTGATTTTGAGAATAGAAACAGTACAGGGAAAGAGTGGCTGATAGGGGTCATTGGTGGCTCCACATGCAGCCTGCTCATCACCATGTTGTCAGGACAGCCTGCATTGCTTGATTTCTTGGAAAGGGAGGCACTAGAGGGTCGTAGTTAATAGTATAGGCTCTGTGGGCAGACAGACCTCAATTTTGTACCTTGATTCTGTTTGAACTAATTTTGTGACCTTGGGTAAGTGATGTAGCCTCCCTCAGCCTTGGGTTTTATCTAATGCAAAAAATGTAGTAATGCCTAATTTATGGTTGCAAAGTTTAAGTAAGATAATTCATACAAAGTGCCTGCCACTCAGCCAGACACATACTAAATGCTTGAGCAACACTAGATAAGTCAATATTGTGGTTCCTACTCTTATTTGAGAAAAGTCAAAACGAAGGATGGCTATAAATGCCACGCACATTTTTACTTTATTTAAAAGTTATAAAAACATGTGGGTGGGGTCTCTAGATCTGACTGGATTCTTAATAATGGAGTATAAGGAAGTTGTACTCAAGAATACATTACCTGTTGAATAGACTTAGGCAACAAGAGACCAATTCGGTTGTATTTTCAGGTAAGCTGAAGTTGAAGGCATTCTCTAAAATGTGTTGGCAGTTGATGTCAACAGGAGAGCCAGAGAGTACGCCTAAAAATGGAACAGAATGCCATTTATTTTATTAATTAATGAAGTCACTGAACTCTCCTTCTGTGCTTAGCTTCTCCACCATGCTCCACACATTCAGCTTTGCAATATGCTTAACAACAGCTCTGACTCTCAGCTTTGTGCGGCAGCATATGCTGTATGTGCACGCTGGAGGCGTTGCCCCCGCGAAAGTTGCCATACTGTGGCTATGTGGAGAAAGGACGCAAAGGATGGGATACCATACCTGCGACGCAGGCTGTCATGAAGCAGGCGATGGTCCCTGCAATCAGAGCTCTTACTGCCCCTGAGGTGATGTCACGCTTTCTGGAAGGAGCCATGGATGCTGGAAAACATGGAAGCAAGTGTGAGAGGCTATTGATTAGGATTCCCTGCCTCTGGGATGTCAGGTCAGCTGAGAAACTCAAAGTTCAAAAACTTAGTGATCAGCTCCACATCCAGAGAGGTTTTCTGGTCTGGAAGATCCATATCCAAAAGCACAGAGGCCTCCATTCTCCAAAGAAGACATAAGTCCTAAGTTTCATCGAAAGGGCTCACAGCGTATTGAGAGCATGACAAGAAGATGGGTTGCAAGGAGGGATCCCAAATATCTGCAACTTATCTGTTACCATCTCCACCTATGTCCATGGTGGGCATCACAGCATTTTTTCCACTGAACTGCCATTGGACTTCACAATCCATCTCCTGATGGCCATATAAATCTGTTGGGATTGGCACTTACAGTGAAACTTATGGGTCATCCCTGAGTTGGGAGAAGCAGTTGCACATTTGAGCAAATTCTTCCTGAAATTCATGTGAACAATTCTTACCTCAAATTCAAGCTGAGGTTAGTTTGGGTGTCCATAGGCAAACTACATTGCAGAGCAGAGACAAAAGTAGACCCCAAAGGATTTACTATTGTTATAGGACCTTCTTTTCCTGACATGAAGTTACAGAGCGAGATGGAGATCTGAACTATGTTTATGTCAGATCTGTTGAACTCTTTTCACTTACTTAGTCCGCCGATCACTATTCCTAGGGAACCAATATTGGAAAAGCCACAGAGGGCATACGTGGCAATGGTCTCAGAACGAATCTGTAAGCAAGCATAAACACACAGATGTATACATGATCTGACCCAGCTTAGTAAACCTAACATCCTAATGGGCCACATATTCCGACTACAGAATCAGCGTTGACAAATAAATGCACAGTGCACGGTGTCAAATACCCATTGCTTCCCAGACTTTCTTCCATCTCCCATTGAATTTTGAGGGAGGGTGGAAAAGAGCTGTGTGAATTCAGATAATGTTATACAAAGGACTTGGAGTTGGTAGCCAAATGCTTTTTTTTCTCCTCAGTGATAACTTCTAATATTCAATATGATCTAGTCACCTGCTATAATGTACCAGATATTATACTAGTTGCTGGAGATACAAAGTTGGTCCCAGAAAATAGTCACACTGCATTTATTACACAAAGGACTTACCCAGAATGTATAATGAACTGCTATAACTCAGTAATAAGAAAACAAACGCCCAATGAAAAATAGATAATGAGATTTGGATACTTCACAAAAGGTATGCCAATGACTAATAAGCACATGAAAACATGCTCAGCATCATTAGTCACCAGGGAAACGCACATCAAAACTACAATGAGATCCCACTCTATACTCACTGGAATGACTAATTTAAAAAGACTGACAATATCAAATGTTGGTGAAGATGTGGAGCAACTGAAACTCATATACTTTACTGGTGGGAATATAAAATAACACTGCTTCTTCGTAGAACAGTGTGGCAGGTTCCTATCAAGTTAACGTATACTGCGTATATGACCCAGAAATTCCAATTCTAGAAATTTGCCTGGAGAAATAAAAACATATGCCCACAAAAAGACTTGTACATAACTATTCACAGCAGCTTTATTCATGATAGCCCCAAACTGGAAACAACCCAAATGTCTACCAAGAGGCAAATGGGTAAACAAATTACTGCTATTCTTAAAATGGAATTCTACTTTGCAATAAAGAGAAAAAGAAACATGGATGCTAAGTGATTCCACTTATATGAAATTCTAGAACAGGCAAAGTAATCTACAATAAGTGAAAGCATAGCATGAGTTGCCTAGGACCGGGCTGGCGGAAGGTGCTGACTGCAAAGGGACATGAGGGAAATTTTTTAGGGGTGATGGAAATGTTCTGCATTTTGGTTGAGGTGGTGGTTACACAGGTGATACATCGACCAAAACTTTTTGAATGTACTCTTAAAATGGGCACTTTTTAGTACGTAAATTACTCCTTGGTAAAAAGGGTATAATTTAAAAGGAATTATATTAGTGAAAAGAAAGCTTACAGATATCAAAGGAGCTTCCTCACATTCTGGCCTTGGTGTGTTTGCCTTTCTGTGTACCTCAAATCTGACTGTTACCACCCCATAGGAATATTAGTGTCTCTATCCGGAAGCAGGAGAGTGAACAGTCAGGTTCACAGGACAGTGAGAAGATGGAAGGCGGAGTTCACAAGAATGTGAGCATGGCTGTCTGGCTCTCTTCTGACAGTCAGAAGGTACTGCCCAGGCCAGATCATTGCTTCTCAGGTTGAGGGCCTCACTATAGGTGATTTGGAAGATTCAGTGGGCTCAGCACAGACACCCCCAACCTGGCAAAGGCACGCACACAATTGGGACAATCGTTTTCTTTCCCAATATCCTAAAAAATCTTATTTGATTCAAAGAACAAACCAGGCAAGCAGGGGGCCTCTCTGCATTCAGAAGCAGATACGCAAGATGTTTTTAAAGCTCATATTTAAGACTCAAATGGTCATGGTAAGTTTTTTGTTGATTTTAAGGCCCCATTTCTTTTCCCTGGTTCAGGGAACTCCTTTGTTGATATTCAATCAGTGTGCATACAGCAGGCAGGAAAAAAACAATTTCAAGTATTTGCACAATTCACCATTCCTGGAAAAGCAATCGCTCCCCTCTCCTCATCCTTTGCTCTCTCTAGTGCTTTTCATTTTATTTCAATTGGCTTCAAAAGCAGGCAAGCTTATTAAGAGACTGCAGGGATAGAGATGACATACAGGGCTTGAGAGTCCTCTTTCTGCTTTCTGAAGATCTATGCGGGAGGGCACACACAGATGTGGCCATGTAAGGTTTTATAACAACGAGAAGAGGAAGAAGAAGCTGGGATGATTCTACTTTTTCTTTGCCCATAAATGGGCAAGGTTACATGATAAAAAGAGACGCACTGCACTATAAAAATAATAATACATCCTACAGCTCTCCTTGCACATAAACAAAGACCCCATATGCACGAGGACAGTTATTGCAGCACTACTTATAATAGCAAAGCATTGAGAGCAATATTCATCATTGAGAGAATGGTTAACATAAATTATGGTACATTCATAAAGTAAAATACCCTGCCATATGCACTGATATGGAAGGATATCCAAAACATGTTATAAAGTGAAAAGAGGAAGGTGAAGAACAGTGAGCATAATATCTTCCAAGGAAAGGAACTGGGTGGCAGAGAAAAGCGAGGATGACTTACTTTTCTTTCTATACCTCTTTGTACCTTTCTATACCATGGTATGTATTACATGTGAAAAACCAAAATATTATGTTTATCCTAAGAAGGAAAAGATAGAGTAATAAAGGGCTTGTTCCAGGTACCGTATATATTATGGATTGAATTGTGTCCCCCCCAAAATATGAATTGAAGTCCTGGCCACTGTACTTGGGGTTGTGATCCTGTTTGGAAATAGGGTTTTTCCTTTGTTATGTTAATGAGGTCATACCAGAGTAGGGTGGGTCCTAAACCTAATCACTTCTGAGTTCTAAAAAGAGCCAAGTACACACAGAGACATGCACAGGGAGAAGGTAGATGCCATGTGAGGGTCGTCTACAAGCAAAGGAACACCAAGGATTGCTGGCAGTCACCAGATACTAAGAGAGAGACCCACAGAAGGAGTTAACACAACCGAGACCCTGATTTTAGCCTCCAGAGCTGTGAGAAAATAAATTTCTGTCCTTTAAAGCCACCCACTTGTGGTATTTCTGTTTCAGCAGCACTAGGAAGTTAAGATATCACACTACATATATATTCTGACCTCTTATCTTAGATGGTTTGAGATGGAGGTCAGCAATGGGCATAATTCAATGGGTAACACTAGGGCTTTTGCCTTGTGGGCCCACATCTTACACATGTGATACCTTTTCCAGGAGGCAGCTGGACACGCTCAGCACATCCTGGTTGGTAAGAAGAAATTGCAGCGATTCTTTTCCCTTCATGACTCAACAATGGCAGAAGCATCAGGCTCCTATTTCCAAATGTCCTCTGTGCCCTTCTTTTTGGTTTGGCTCACCCTACATCCTTATCAGCTCTACTGTTCCACCTCTACCTTTTTAGTCACCTTTTCACAAAACTGCTTGGCACTGCCAGAATTGTAAGCTCTCTTTTGCTCATTAACAAAACAATTTTTTCCTGCCAACTAGCAGTTGGGAATAGAAAACATTTCATTGAATTTAGCCTATTGTTTATGGTAATGGATTGAATTGTGCCCCCCCACCGCCAATAACTAAAAAAACCCAATGCTGTCGAGTCGATTCTGACTCATAGTGACCCTATAGGACAGACTAGAACCATCCCATAGGTTTCCAAGGCTGTAAATCTTTACAGAAGCAAACTGCTACATCTTTCTCCCATGAAGGGGCTGCTGGGTTTGAATCACTGACCTTTTGGTTAGCAGCCAAGCGCTTTAACCTCTGTGCCACCAGGGCTCCTTCATCCCAAAATATGTGTTATAAATCATAGCTGTTATACCTGTGGTTATAATCCCATTTGGGAATAGGTTTTGTTTGTTATGTTAATGAGGCAGTGTTAGTGTAGGGTGTGTCTTAAATCAGTCTCTTTTGAGACAGAAAAAACCAGATCAAGCAAAGCAAACAAAGCAAGCAAACACAAACTAAAAGGAAGATAGATGCCATGTGATCACCAAGGAACCTGAGAGTATAAGCCAAAAAGAGGCAAGGACCTTCCCCCAGAGCCACACGCATAGAGAGCCTTCCCCTAGAGCCTATGGCCTGAATTTGGACTTCTAGCCTCCTAAAGTGTGAGAAAATACATTTCTGTTCATTGAAGCCACCCACTTGTGATCATCTTTCAGTAGGTCAATGGACAAAGTGTGGTGCGTTCACACAATGGAATATTATTCAACAGTAAAAAGAAATGAGCTATCAAGCCCATATCAAGACATGGAGGAAGCTTAAATGTGTATTGCTAAGTGAAGCCAGTCTGGAAAGGCTACCTACTGATTCCAACTGTCACATTCCAGAAAAGGCAAACTTACAGGGACAGTGAAAAGATCAGTGGTTGCCAGGGACTCAGGGGAAGAGGGAGACGTGGATAGGTGGAGCCCAGGGCATTTTTAGGGCAGTGAAACTATTCTGCATGATAGCGTAACAATGGACACATGACATTACGCATTTGTCAAAACCCATAGGACTGTACTACACAAAGAGTGAGCCCTACTGTGGACTATGGACTTTGGTTAATAATAATGTATCAGTATCGGTTCATCGATTTTAACATATGTACCACAAGAACGTGAGACGTTAATAGTAGGAGAAACTGTGCAGTGGGTAAAGAGGTATACAGGAACTCTCTGTACTTTATGTATAACTTTCCTTTAAATCTAAAACTGCTCTAAAAATAGTTTATTTAAAAAAGTAAGTCATCATAAGTGATAAAGATCATCTGTGTTTCTATACACACACATACTCACACACAGAGATTAATTCAACATAACTGAAAATTACAAGATGTTATTTTCAATCTAGGAAGAAAGGTCTGGCAATTTACTTCCAAAAGTCAGCCAGTGAAAACCCCATGGATCACAACAGTCCAATCCTGTTGTGCGTGGTGTTGCATGAGTTGAGGGCCGACTCGACAGCAGTTAACAACAATGTTCTATATGAACTCCGTGAGATCAGGATTTTTTGGTCTGTTTTGTTATCCAATGTATCCAAAGTGCCTGACATATCGAGGCAACTATTCGATCAATGAAGGAGCCCTGGTGGCACAGCGGTTAAGCTCTTGGCTGCTAACCAAAAGATCAGTGGTACGAACACACCAGTCTCTCCATGGGAAAAAGATGGGATAGTCTGCTTCTGTAAAGATTACAGCCTTGGAAACCCCATAGGGCAGTTCTACTCTGTCCTATAGTGTTGCTATGAGTCGGAATCTACTCGATAGCAGTGGGTTTATTCGATGAATGTGTGTATGGGATGAAGGTGTGCACTGAAAAATCAAAACAGTTACTCACCGACATATATTGCTGCTGTCCATTCAAAAATTTGGGTCCACCTTGTTTCCTCAAGTCGATAAATTTTGAGAGGTGTTCATAAGCCACAAATTCATTAAAGAATGTCTTATAACCTATGAGTCTGGCAACCATAAAGCTGTCTTGCCAGTCAACCCCCATCATGAACGAAAAGGGCATGAAGATGTAGGAGCATATTATCTACAAAAACCAAAAGTACAGAGTTTATTAGCTGAGTAATGATTTGCTCCTAGTTCTTCTGCCTCATCCCCAGCTCCAGGATTGTTCCATGTTCCTTTTAGGCTCAGAAATCTCTCCACATTCCGTTGCTCTATCCATCAGGAGTTAAGGTTAGAATTGGGTCATTGGGAGTAATCTGGAGTCTTAGGGGTGGGGTCAGGAGAGGATGAATATGTGTTGGGGGAAGGAGGGTGGTAGGAGAGAAGCGGATAGGAAGATGGGAGGGTTATGGGATAAGCTTATACAACGTGTAAGTGTACATTACTGATGGTTAGGGAAGGCTGTTCACAAACTTATTTTATTTTTAAACAAAGATAGGCAGAAACAAAATGGAGGGCAGAAGCATGGAAGAATTATACCTCAAAACTCAGCTGTGGGTAGTCAAACATGTTTCCAAACCAGGACAGGGCTGAATTCAGAAAAGACAACAAGGCCAGGAAGGCGATCAGGTTCACGGCGATATTTGCCACCAGGGAGATGGATGAGGATGCGCCCTCTGCCGCGGCTTCCAGGAGATTTCTCGCCTCACTTTATCAAAACATAGTAATTCCAGAATTACCAAGGGGTTGTCAGTGGATGGACATCACAGAGCAGAAATGGCATAGCCAGAGCTCATAGAAAAGACAAACTCCCAGGCTTGTGCCTTCAAGTCCATGAAATTATGATTGGGTTGGGCTTATAATTGTTGAATCTAGGTGATACGCATATGAGTGTCTAATGCTCTTTTAATCTGGGGGCATTTATAATAAAAAAATTGGGAAAAGAAAAAAATATTATAGGTTTTAAAAATAACTTTTATTACATAGCTACTGAGAATATTTATAAAATATCTAAAAAAATCCCAGTGCCTTTTAGTTGCCTCTGACTCATGGCACCCCATGTGTGTCAGAGTTGAACTGCTCCATAGGGTTTTCAATGGCTGATTTTTTCAGAATCACATCACCAGGCTTTTCTTCTGAGGAGCCTGTGGGTGGACTTGAACCTCCAACCATTAAGGTAGCAGCCAAACATGTTAACTGCACTATCCAGGGACTCCTTAAAATATCTAAGGTATAAAAACTAATGGTACCAGGAAAGCCTGTATATCCGTCAACTCATTTAAGGAATGGAATGTCATCTTACCTTTGAGCACCACTCCCCACCTCTGTGTTCACCCTTAATACAACCCCTTCCCCTCTAATCTCTGTCTCCCTAAAATTTCTTTATCATTCTCTTTCTTTACAATTTTTCTATATGTTTGTATCCCAAAATAATATATCAGGTAAGTCTGCACATGTGCTAACTTTCTAAGTGTAATCAAACTATATGTAGTATTTTGGCAACTTGCTTTTTCACTTATTGTTATAACTCCACCTACATACAAACAAGGGATGAATCTCAAAAACATGTTGGTTGGAGAATTCTGTTATTTAATGAAATACTTTTGAATATCCTAAATCTCTTAGTCTTTTCTACCTTTTTTTTTCTTTTCATTTGAACAGGGCAAAAAAAAAAAAAAAAAAAATGAACCAAAGAGAGGTTAAGAATATCTATATCATACCATCCTCTTCCCTAATAAATAAGCACCTGGTCTCCTTCTTGCCCTATTATATGAGAAACCCCCCAGAAATGGTCACTCTACGGCTTTGCAACAGTCTTGAACCAAGGCTCAATGAATCCAATGCTATACTTACAATGAACTATCTTTACAGTGGAGCCCTGGTGGCACAGTGGTTAAGAAATCAGCTGCTAAGCAAAAGGTCAGCAGTTCAAATTCACCAGCTGTTCCCTAGAAACCCTATGGGGCAGCTCTGCTCTGTCCTATAGGGTCACCATGAGTTGAAATCAACTTGATGGCCACAGGTAATGCGTATCTTTACAATAAACAGTCGAGATGCCATTCAGATATTTAGAAAGGTTTTTCTCAAGTGTTGAAACAGTAACTTTTTTAGTGAAGTCTAAGTAATTATCACTGGGAAATTAAATTCACTTCAGTATGTCATTTACCATGCTCTGTGGTTATCAAATTTTTGCTGAACTTTGAATTTACCTTCCTCTCCCCTCAGCCTACGTAGTTATCAACTAGGCGAATGTGCCCTGCTTACCCATTTTCCATTTTCATGGCATTCTTGAGGGTTATTTTAGGTGTTTCTGTCTCAGGCCAAAAGAGTTTAGCAACAGCCAGTGATGCAGGTGCTGACATAACAGAAGCGGTTAGCAAGTGAGAGGCCGAAACCTGGAATTTCAGAAGAAAACAAGCAAATCATGCCTAGCTTTTCTGTTGGGTTCAGAAGGAATAGCCTTTGATGTGGTGAAAAACAGGTGAAATTATGCACTACAGATTAGTAAGTAAGCACAAGTAAACCCGTGTGTACTTGCTTACTGGGTAATCTGTCCCTGGTAGGCTACGCTGTAGACCATCAACTCTCAAACTGGGTTGTATATTTGAATATGAGGAGTTTTTAAAAATACTGATGCCTGGGTCTCATCCTAAGAGATTCTGACTTAATTACTCTGGGGCATGGCCTGGGCATTGGGATTTTTAAAAGCTCCCAAGGTGATTCTCATGTGCAGCCAGGTTTGAGAACCACTGCTGTAGATGACGGGTCGTAAGCTTTTTCTGTAAAGGGCCAGATAGTAAATATTTTTGGCTTTGCCGGCAATAGCTAACCAACTCTGTAGCCCAAAAGCTGGCATAGACAAACAAATAGGAATGGCTGTGTTTCAATAAAGCCCCTGGCTGGCGCAAACTGTTTGCTCTCAGCTACTAACTGAAAGGTTGACAGTTTGAATCCACCCAGCAGCACTGCAGAAGAAAGTCCTGGAGATCTGCTTCTGTAAAGATTATAGTCAAGAAAGCGTCATGGAGCTCAGTTCTACTCTGTAACACAGGGGGTCACCATGAGTTGAAACTGACTCCATAGCAACCGGTTTGGTTTTTGGTTTTGATGTTCCAATAAAACCTCATTTACAAAAACAGGGGGCAATCCAGATTTGACCCATAGGCCATAGTTTGCCAACCCTAGGTTCAAATCACCTTTTAATCATGTCAGTAAAAAAAAAGAAAAAATTTTACATATTAATATTTTCAGCCAAAGTAACTTCATCATGAGACTTCAATCTGTTATGGTGGGATATAACTCACATTTAGGTAGCAGGGATATGAGAGTGAAGCCCAAAAGCTCCTCGAAGTCACTACATTCAAATGACAAAGCAATGCAAACAACTATAGAGCAAAAAGGGATACATTCTTAGTCTTCTTTTCCAACAGCAATGAGAAACGACAACAACAAATAAGTAACAATAGCAAAGAAACCAAACCAAACCAAACTCATTGCCGTCAAGTCGATTGAGACTCATAGTGACCCTACAGGACGGACTAGAACTGTCCCATAGGGTTACCAAGGCTACAATCTTTACAGAAGCAGGCTGCAACTTCTATCTCCTGTGGCTGGTGGATTTGAACTGCCAACCTTTTGGTTAGCAGTCAACCACTTTAACCACTGCACCACCAGGCAGGGTTCCTCAGCAAAGAAAGAAGAAGTTGAATTTTCTGTAATTCTTACCCCAAAAGAAATGTATGCGCCTAAGACGCCTCCAGCAATGGTGGCGAACCCAGCAGTCATGACTGCATGGAGCTCAGACCTGGTGACGTATGGTAGATATGGTCGAACCAGCAGTGGAGACTCTGTCTAGAGACAAAGAAAAGGGTGACTAGATTAAATGCTGCCTTTGAATTTTAAGAGGGTATGAGTCCTTGATTAGTACAAATAGTTAACGCATTCAGCTGCTAACGCATTTGAGTCCACACAGAAGTGTCTTGGAAGAAAGGCCTAGAGATCTACTTCCAAAAAATCACATACTGAAACCCTATGGAGCACAGTTCTACTCTGACACACGTGGGGTTGCTGGGAGTTGGAATCGAAGAATGGCAACAAATTAAAGTAGTAGTTCTAAGTGTGGCCCTTAGACCAGCACCATCTGCATTTCCCGGGAACTTTTTAGAAATGCAAATTCTTGGACTTACTGAATCAGGGACTCTGGGGCCCAGTAATCTGTGTTTTAACAAGTCATCCAGGTGATTCTAATGCATGCTCAAGTATGGGAACCCACCTCATCCATGGCTGTGTAAATGGATGCGTAAATTTGGGAAAGTTTGCAAGCCCAGTTTCTATAAACCTTAGGACTAGACTAGCCTAGGACTGGACATGGAACCTGGAGAAATTGGTACACTTTTCTTAGGTTTGGAATATCATCAGCCGAGCAACTCTGCCCAGTGGCCTGGCCTTGTGAACTGGTGGTTCCTAGGTCTCTGTAACTTCCCATCTTCCAGCTTGATCAAGACAAGACCTAAGCCTCCTTGCTGACATCAGAGGGAAATCACAGGAGTCCCAAAACACCAGCAATATCAAGTGCAGGCACCCAGAGGCCCTTTCCTAACTGAGAATCAGAGGCACCTCCCTCCCATTTCCCTTGGTGTGGGAAGAGTGTAGTTGTAAAGGCTTGAATCCCATTAAGGAGGGCAGGAGGCCTGCAGTGTGGGGCTCTCCATAAATAATAGCTGTACTTTTAGCATATTAAGTACCAAATTGAGCACCACAGAATCATGTGTGTAATTTTACAATTTTCTCCTCATTATTTCTAATTGTTCTATAAGATTGAATGTGCTGAGCCTCAATTTATGGACTTAATGGAAATCCAGTACAGGAGTCCTCTTACCCTGCAGGTAGAAGTAATCAACTCAAGATGGTGCCCTCATTAGTCCTGAGAGATTTCATGACTATAATTATGTTAAATTCAGCTCCTAGGGAAGGAAGTATGGACCCTGCTCTAAACATTATGCTTCAGGCTAGTGAGCTGGGCTGATCGACAAGTAGGCTTCACCTGCCTAGAGCAGTTGTAGTCTGGGATTTGGGGCCATGTGTTTTTCTGGGTGACTTGATTTTTGCTTCAAATCCAATCTTCTTGGGCACTGGTGCTGGCAAGTATTCACACTTGGTTTCCTTGGTGTGTGATTTCATTCTGTCTGAAGCTTCATACTCCGAGTAGCTTATTACCACTTCTTACTTAGCCATCCCTCAGGAATGCTGCTATTTTGATGGACACCCCTTAGCATCATATTTCTTGGTTTAAATGAGTGTCAGGCAAAAGAGCACTTACCCAAGGGATGGATCAGGGAGGTGAAAAGTGTAACCTAATAGCTCCTCAGTGTTTTTCTTCAGACTTGGCAAAGACAGACTGTTGGCCAGTTCAGACAAGCTGAGAATGAGCTTGGGTAGGTAGGGCTGCATGGTTTTTGGTGGAAAGCCAGTCATGGTCTCTTCCATTGCCACAAACCAAGTTCTAGGTCAGCATTATGCTACAGAATATGAAGCTAGCTGTTCCACGTCCACAGCTTCAAAAGAAATGGTGAGCTCCATTTCAGCAGAAGAGCTCCTAGCTTCTGAAGGGTTGGCTGGAGATCTCAACCATTCAATACATTCAGAAAAGTTCTGCTGAGAATCTACAGATGAGAAACTGTTTTTGATAAGATGGTTCAACCCTCCTTCCTCTCCATAAATTTCCAAGAACCCAAATACCACACTAGCCTAAGGAGGGTTTTGGAAGGGATGCCTCTCTCTCTGGTATCTCAAGATTGCTAATAATGGAATTCCTTATTTCAACACCCTGCTTTTTATATTAAAAGAAATGGCAGTACTATAATGTTTTTTTATTCCATTTTCTGGAAAGAGACTATTCATTTCAGCAGCTTATTTTTTTTTTTATATTAAAACTCACCTGTCCAACAAATATATTGCCAGAAGCAACTACAGATTCAACAGGAGATGTTCCCATAGTAACTAGCATTAGCCATCCAATCTAAAAGCAAAAAAGGGACGAAGTTAGTGAAGAACTATTTGTGTATACCAAACATCAAAGTAGGGATAAATCTTTAAACTAGAGTAAAATGTGGAGGCCGGTCAGTGATGGAGGTTAATGTAAGTACACTTTATCTAGTCCATAAAGCAGGCCAATCAAATCCTCCTGTTTGTGTGGTAAGTCTAAGTAATTGTATGTACATTATGCAAATGCGTTTCTACAGCTATACTATATACAAGTAATTATGTGATAATAATTGCCAACAACTATGGCGGGCTTTACTGCCCCTACCCTCTGACTTAGATGAACCCATTTAATCCTCACAGTAACCTTTTAAGGGAAGTCCTATAATTATGCCCGTTTTATAGAAAAGGAAACTAAAGCACGGAATAGTTTAGTTACTTTGTCAGTCACTCATATAATAAGTAGTGGCGGAGCTGAGATATAATTGAGGTTTGGCCTTTCTTAATGCAGACTGCGGTGGATGGTTGCACATTTGCCCTGGCCTTTCAACGAGAGATTGTAGTGCCCACCTCAGGATGGGGCCTTCCTACTGCATTCGCTCTTCTTCCTTTTTGCTTAGGCATGAGCACAGTCATTCTAAACGTATAAATGTTTAAAATGAAAACTATGGGCTCTGAAAGCTTTTGCTGAAATTCTGAATTCTGCTGGTATTCTGGTTCTCTTTCTCCATCTCTCTCGTCTAGTACATTTGTATTTATTTTACAGGGATCAAAAAAAACAAAAAGGGTTGAGGCTATGCTCAAGTCCTAGAAGCACTGCCCTACCGTCATGTGCCTCCAGACTAGCTCACAAAGTACTTAGTGTTGTCATCTAACTTATGAGGGCAGGACTGACAGTTTCTGGGGCAGCAGGAATGGGATTCACTTCTTGGACTTTATTCTTAGTTGTGTGCTTAGAAAGAAAACTCCCTCAGCTTCCCTTTGTTGCTCTGATTTCTCTGGCAACTCCAAGACCGGGCATGTCCACACTTGCAACCTCCTCGAGGTCAGCAATGGCTTCGTGTAGGGCACAGGGCAGCCAGCCAGGATAAAGGAAGGACGCTGTGTCTTTTCCCCTGGGAGGTGTCTGACCTGTTGGAGTCACCCCTTTTGTTCAGGTTTCATGAAGCTATCCAGCGGGTTGCAAGTCAAAGCCCCGTTAGAAGTCCTGAAGTTAAATCCCCTCTATGGGCACCAGGAGGAGACCTGGCACAGTGGTTAAGCACTTGGCTGCTAACTGAAAGGTCAGTGGTTGGAACCCACCAGTGGCTTCTCAGGAGAAAGATGTGGCAGTCTGCTTCAGTGAAGATTTATAGCCTTGGAAACCCTATGGAGCATCTCTATGCTGTCCTATAGGGTTGCTATGAGTTGGACCGACGGGGCAGCTCTAGTCTGTCCTATAGGGTCGCTATCGACTAAGTGGCATCGGGTTTGGTTTTTTTGGTATGGGCACAGGTAAGCAACTCACTCAAGTTGTTTGGGTTTGAATCTAATCCTTGGTGGGGGAGGGATCTTGGTAGGAAGAGAAGGGCATTTTTGAAATACCTGCATTAAGACTTTGTCCTTGAAATAATCAGCTCTACACCTGCCACTCTAGCCCCTCCCAGGACCCATACCTTTCTAACAATCCACTGCATCAATCCGAGGTAGTAGAGCATCGACATGACAGTGCTGAAGAAAACCACGATTGGCAGGATCTGGGGGCAGGAACAGAGGCCATAGTGGGTTAATGTCATTGAGAACCATTTCTTGAGAGTGTGGGGTCAACAGACTCGGGTTACATCTCCATCTCTCTGCCTTCATTTTTCCCTCTGAGAAAATACTGAAATATAAAAATACTGGAAACTCCTCATGAACTAAAGCAGCTTCCTCACCTATGGTATCCTGTTCTAATTTGTTCTGGATACGCTTGAGTATATTTCATAGGAAAATTGCCATGTTTTTGTGTTTGTTTCCTTTGCTATACAGACGTTTCCTTACTGCAGTGCCTCAGAGAAGCAATAAAACCCTCTTTTTTCTCTTCTTTTGTAGGTGGTGTTTGGGTGGTGGGTGGACTCCTGGTGGAGGTGAGAGGCATGGAATAGCTAATGGAGTAGGAAAGATAAGCAAAAAAGAATTTCTATCTCAGTTTGTAAACACTTGACCTTTCAGAGATGGCCTGGAAGAATCAATCAACAGTTAAAAATCAGTTGTTTAGAAAAGGATTTAGCATGCTTGCATTTACCATGTCTCCCTCACTTCAAATGCAAATAACCCAAAAATGTTGGGCAGAAGTAGAGAGTCATTTTGGAGAAATATGTAATAATTAGACAAAAAAACTGAAGACCACTGGCAGATAGTTTCCTTGTTCTGATACTAAACAGACAGGGGCTTCACCACTAATTAACACAGTAACCTTGGTCAAGATTAATGGTGAACAATCTCATATCCGTATCTGGAGCAGGGATCTACACAGATCAGAGAAAGCATGTCAGGTGCTTACACATAGTGCCTCCTATAGAGTAAGCTTTCATTCTTTTTTTAAAAATTTTATTGTGGTAAAATATATATAACAAAATATTTGCCATTTTAATCATTTTAAGGGTATAATTCAGTGACGTGAACTGCACTCACCATGTTGTCCAATCATCACCACTATTTGCAAAACCTTTTCAT